AACCGAACCAAACCGACCAACGGACAGCCCTAGATTTTATAGTGTTTCAAGTAGTTGCTGCTGGCTGTAAATGTGAATTGTCATTGTGAATTGGGTGTAGACCTTTTGATAATGGGATATCTATGTTTACATTTTCTGTTTCTTTCCTGTTGCAATTTTCTGTTTCATTCCAGTTGGACCAGCAACTTCAAATTGTGATTACACATACATCAGGCATACGTACAAATCTATGACTTCCCATAGTTCCAGCAATGTGATGTTCAGCTCCATGAGTTTTGTGCAACAAATATTATGATCTTTTAAGATAATGTTGCTGGTGTGCATTGTGCAACAACATAAACTGATTTGCCTGTCTTACAAAGCCAAAACAAACTGAGGAAACAAATAGACAGACATATCAGTTTATGATGTGTATATTATTGACCTGTGAGGCAACAATGAAACTGAACTTGCACACCAACAAGAAAGTGAGGCAACAAGCCATAATCCTCAAATTAAGTTGTCTTTCACACCATAATGAACGTAGGCAACAAGCCATAATTAACAATATAAACTGAAATGTTTGTCTTACAACACCAACATAAACTGAGCTTACAACACCACCAAGAAATTCAAAACTGAGCTTACACCACCATTAATCCATTCGCGTGTCTGTCTTACACAAGAACAAGAAATTGAAAATTGACATGTTTGTGTTACAACACCAATATAAACTGAGGAACTACAAAAATTGGTCAATTAAATGTCTTCACTACCAACAAGCCATTGGTCAAGTAAATGTCTTCATGTCATAGTCTTGCGCCACATTGGTCTTCAGTACTGAGGATTACTCTTTCTGCCTCCTTCACGGCTACATGTGAGCACAACATATCTAACAACTCCATCATCATCCTTTTGAGAATTTCTTTTTCTAATTGAAAAGCTTATCTTTTGTAAAAATCAAAAATATCTTTTTCATTGTTGAACTTCGTACCCACTGCAGGCACGATTGCACCATCTACTCCTTCAATCCCATCATCAATTAAGTTCACACTTTCCAAATTGTTCCCATTATCGGATTGTGACAAAAATATGTTCATCCACCTCCTTCCAAACTTCCACTTGCTGCAATGAACAACCAGTTAGTTTTCACAATTAAAATTTTGTCAGTAATTGTGTAATTTTATCTGATAGGCACCAGATTCACAGAAAAAAAAATAGTTTTCACAATTAATATTTTGTAAATAATTGACATAAACTTATTCAAAATCAACTGGCATTTACAGAAACTTGATCAACCAAACTTTAATTCCATGGCTATAGGATGCACTACAAACTATTAAATCAACATGAAACTGAAACCATGCTACAAACATGGATTTGAATTGTAGTGTACATAGCATATACATCAGGTCAACCCCTACCAAAAATTGGTTCGACCTCGTGGACCCTTTCGACCAAAATGCTACTGATAAATGTATAGAAGGAAAACGAGCTTATGCACTATTCACCCATTCATTTCCCAGATTGCATCTAAATTCAATAACCCATTCAACCAGCTTCGTTGCCAAGGAAAGAAGAAGGACAAAAAATAATTATACCCCCATTTTCAGAGTTAAAAAAAAAAAAAAAAACAAGGGATGGGAAATACTTTTGTTTGTTATCACTACAAAGGTACGTGATCTTCAAGGCTGATTTTTATTTTGCCGGCGAGAAGCTTCTTGGATCTCCAGTGACCTGCCGGAGTGAGGAGGCGGCTTCGGGTTGGTCGGCGGTTTGTCGAGGTTTGGGCGCCACACAGTGAGAGAGAGGTTTCAATGATTTTGGTTTCCCGGTTATTTTGTGTATTTGGTGGGTAAAGGCTGGTTCCCTCTTTTTGTACCAATAGCATTTTCCTTATTTTTTTGTCCTTCACTTTCCACGTCATCGTGTATACCAACAGGTAAGGGACTGGGTACCAATAGCATTTTCCTTATTTTTTTGTCCTTCACTTTCCACGTCATCGTGTATACCAACAGGTAAGGGACTGGGTACCAATAGCATTTTCCAACAAATATTTATAGTGCAAAAAGAGTAATACGTAATGTGCATGAACTACTAATTTTCACATATAACACAAATGAAAAGAAAAATCAAGTGTATAGGTTATTCGTGGTGTGCTCATCTAGCATTGGATAGGCCACCTGCAGTAAGTGTCCTAGCTCTACCATATCTACTAAGAGTTCTATTTTTATGTCTCGATTACAATAATAGATTCTTGGCTATCACAATCTGGTTCGAGTTTGATCAAATTGTGAACCAAGATACTAAACTCAAATGCATCAAACATGCTGTAACTTGGATCTCTATATCCTTTCAATGATAGTACAAATGGAACTGAAGATGTTGAGAATCAAATTTCTGAAATGCTTGCATCAAAATTTTCTTTCTTGAACATATAAATGGAAAATATGCCTACACATCGTGGTATCACAACACAGTTAGTCATGGCAACATTGGCCTTTTGATTGCATCAAATGCCTCATAGAGATTAACTGTCAAATATAATTTGAAATATGCCGTTTCACTTAACAACGCAGCCAATAGCATGCACACTCACAGTGAAGCAGATAAAGCTCCACGTCTCGTATAAATTTCTTATTATAAATGTTAAAGCAAGACGCTGAGCTATGTGCCAAGATAATTTACTGAAAATACAAAAAGATGCATTCAACAATGAGTAATTGTTGAGAAACAAGTAGATCTTCAATTAATCTAAGTTTTGCCTTCAAAAACACCACCACCCTCATAATATGTGACTAACTTAACATTCCAAAGCATGATATCAAGAAAAGTAACTAATAAATATAATAGTGATACTTGATCAACTCTGACAAACAAAATCAAAATAAATATTATTTCAAGAACTCCGCTTGTTGGTAGCACATACAAGGACAAAATCATGTTTCAGTCTTTCAAACAATATTGATACTCCTTTAGTTTATAGGAGCACTACATTTGAAAATTGTTCAACTAATCAGACAAATCAGCCGACCAATCCCTTTAATTTGGATAAAATCTGTAACGATAACTCAGAGATGAACTTGGATTGGAACTCCAGAGATGGCACTCATGTACACTTAACAATTCAACATTCAATGATAAAGAACATTGATTCGGTATACAAAATATGGATTTCATAGAATGAGGTACGAATATGAGTGACCTGTGGGAACGATTTGTGATTTTCTGGGATTTGGGATTTTGATCAAATATGGTTACGTGGAATTTGGGGTTTTATTTGGTAAAGGCTAAAATTTTGGGACTTCGAACATTAATTGAATAAATTAAATTAGGACTTATTTGGTGGAGTAATAGAAGCTGTCAAGAAAATCCAATTTATATTTAGTTGTTTATTGCATAGTTACTAAACCCGGACCGGATCGGTCGGTTCCTACCGGAAACCGCCGACTCGGACCATGGTCCGGTCCGAGTCCATTAAATTATCAAGTAAGCACATGAACCGGTCAAGAACCGGTTGAACCACTAATTAACCGTCCAAACCGGACAGTTTTAAGTGAAACCGGATCCGGTTCAATGTGTGAACCGGACGATTATCTAATTGAAGTAAGATTTTATACTAAATGTGCTGGAGGTAGGATTCGAAGCTTGGACAATGAAGGGAAATTTTCAACTCCACAACCGCTAAGACAGCCAATGATTCTTTGTCCATTAATGTGAGCAAAACATATATATTATATTTTGGAAAATGGTTTCCTTTTATTTCAAAAATACAATTTAATTAAAATTAAAATCAAGCAATGACCCACCGATTGAACCGTCGATCCACCGGTTGAACCACTGACACGTTGACCCGATGATTTTTTCGGGTCAATCATCGGGTCGGGTTTAATAACTATGGTTTATTGTTTTCCATTTTTACTATGTAAAATACAATAATAATAGTATGAAAATGTTGGAATGTATCATATGAATTATTATTTTAAAATGAGTATGACATGTAATTTCCTCATAAAGATTCTTGTATTTATAGTATTGATAATGGGTTCTTTTGGTAACTGGACATTGCAAGAATGCAACTGTCGATATTAACATGATAAATTGATTAACCTGATAAATTTAGCTATGCTATAATTAATATTTTAAATTGGAATAATTTTCTATACAAAAACAAAAAATTGTTTCTAATTTAAAATTGTTAAGCCGCTGCCTGATCGCGCTTCTTTGTGAATTTTTAGCATTTTTCCGACAGGAAGTGTCAAAAGGAAGCCGTCACAATTGTTAAATTAAGGAAGCAGCCGCAATTGTTGAATAAAATGAAGCTGTCATAATTTTTTATATTTGAATTACGGAAATACCCTCTTTAGCTTTTTTTTCTTTTTTTTTGACGGGGGCATTTCGGTAATTCATTCTATAAAAGTTATGGACGCTGCTTTTTTTCAACAATTGCGGTTGCTTCTTTGTTACAATGTATAATGGTAAAAAAATTAGTTAAAAATTCACAAAGCGCGACTAAACAAGCGCTAAATCTTTCTTTCAGAAAAAAAAAATCTATTTCTTCATAAAAAATGTCAAATGCCGTGCACCAATAATGGTCTTATAATGTTTAAAAAATAATAAAAAAATAATATTCTTATAAGGTGGTATCTTGTCCGATGTCTCCATCCCTGACCACACTTGATTAAATACATGTTTATGGACGGCACTTGAACGTTGATTTGGCAGTATATTTGTTTGGAATGGAGTAGGTGAAAGTGATTTGCCTTTTGTCTATATTTATATATATTTATTACTAAGCTTCAAACTGAGGATAAGAGAAGAGTGAAAGTGCAGAAACAATGAGCAACCAGTCTTCAAAGAGGTAAATTAACTTGCTTTCAATCAAATTACTAAGCCAGATGTAGCTACGAAATGGAAGATATTGTTGATAAATAGAAGTATGTTTCATTCATTAAATCTCAAAAATATTCCGCCACAGATAGAGCAGTCAAACTCCTTTTTTTATTTTTTATTCTGGATCTGAGAGTTATTTCTTTCAATCTCTATTTTTTCTTTACCCATACTAGGTATTGATATGCACCTCGATTTTGTTCTCTTTATAAAGAAGATACAGAATAGATATTTGTAATCAATCATTTATCTCTTGGAAGAGGATTAATAGTATTTCAATCATTGATCTTGGTACCTTTCTTGGGGATTTCGTCCCGACAGAAGTACTATTGAATTCATAGACAAATGGCTTGTTAGGCATTTTTGATACCGAGTACTAGACAAGATTACGCAGTAAATAATTCAAAAATCACGCCAATTGTATTGTCTAGCCTTATCCAATATTGAGCATCAAACAAGCCCATACCGTTGTTGTCTTCTTATTTCTCCAGGTATGCAGTTGTGACAGGGGCAAATAAAGGAATAGGGTTTGAGCTATGTAGGCAGTTGGCATGTAAAGGAGTCATGGTGGTTTTGACTGCCAGAGATGAGAAGAGAGGCAATGAAGCTCTAGAAAAGCTCAAAGGCTTTGGTCTCTCTGAAAATGTTGTGTTTCATCAACTTGATGTAATGGATCAAACTAGTATTGCTTCCCTTGCCCATTTCATCAAAAACACTTATGGGAAGCTTGATATTTTGGTATGAATTCTTCTTCTTCTTCTTCTTTTTTCAATGGTTTGTGGAAGTTGCTATACTCATTGTTTTTAGGCTTCGAGAAGTTATGGAGGGGCAAAAAACGGTTTCATCTAGCTGATCTCAAGAAAGTAGCAAAAAATTATAATTTGTAGCCGACCCTAAATTGTGAGGGAACAAGCTTAGTTACATATGATGTTTCTTAGATGGAGTATCTCATTGTACCCCGTACTTTTCTTGTGTTCGGAGCTTATAAATAAATTTTTTTCATTATCATAGAAAAAAGAAAGAAATGATTTCCTGGCCCTAATACTTTGGACAAGACCGGCTGCCATGAAATAGGGGTCAGGTTGGGTCTCTACAAAGTCGGTTCGTTTGACACCTCTAGTCTTCATTATGCAATCAATGTGGATCCCACTACATGCTTATGAAATCGCCTGTTGTTTTTTCCATAGCTTTATAGTAGAATAGTCGGCTCACAACTAAATTTAAACATAGTTGAGTTTTTTTCCTCAAATTATAAAATTAAGGAATGGTTCGTTTTTTATATAATGTTGGGAAGCAAACATGTTGCTCTTAAGCTCATGAGTTTGATCACTCAAATGACGGCAGTCAAATGCCATAAAATATTTAGAGTGCCCTTGCTGGATATCAATTGATTTTCAGCCTACAATTAATTTTTTATTGTAAATCATAATATTAAAAAATCAAAATTTTGCAGGTGAACAATGCAGGTATTTCTGGAATAAGTGTAGAGGGAGATGTCTTAGCTTTTAAAGAGATAATTGAGGCAGTTGGTGAACCCAAGGTTGGCCTTTGACTCTTTGTACTATCTGCATTTATTTCATCATTCTAATGAAAACTTCAGGTGAAATTAAATGCTATTAGTTGGGAATAAGATGCTTACTGCTGATTACTTCTTGCCTCAAATCTAGACATACCGGAAATGTTTGGTACATAATACAAGAACACTATAATTGACTAAATTTGGACTTCTTTTTGTTTTTTAATACTGATGAGTGCTATAAAATCAAGTTTATTAATACACGAAAAAGTTCTATGTATGCAAGGAGATACATCATTTTTTCATAGAATGTGGCATTCTCTTCGGTTTATATTCCTTTCTGAGTTTTTGATTCAAATTGTTAAAATGTTTCCATAAAACTAGAATGTTTGGAGGAAGTAAATGAGGATGTTATAATGGATGTCTGGTCACGGTGGAATACGAAAGATAAGAAATGGTCGAATAAAGCAGTTGGGACATTTTTATTTTTATTTTGAATTTAAAGAGAAGTGGTGCTACCTAAACTAACATAACTTGTAGTTTTTCTTTGAATCATAAAGTTTCATAGAATGATAGAAACTACAGTGTCAAGTGGAATTAAAAACTTATACTACTTTGCAGAAATAAAGATGGTAATATAAATGTTTATTGTCTATACTACTAAATAAGTTAGGAAATAGACAAATTAGGTGGTTGGGTCCATTTGGATCTTTGAGGAGATATTACTATAAATTGTACGAGGTGGGGAAGAGGGATTTATGCAGTCGGCCACTAATTTATGCAGAACTAAAAGGAAGGATCATTTCAATGACAGAATTTTTTCTTCAATGATGCAGCATATCACAGCAAACGGAAGACTTGTCCAGACATATGAATGGACAGAACAATGTTTACAAACTAACTATTATGGTACAAAGAGAATGATTGAAGCATTTATTCCACTCTTAAGGTTGTCNNNNCATTTATTCCACTCTTAAGGTTGTCAGATACACCAGTGATCGTGAATGTGTCTTCTCTCATCGGGCAATTGAAGGTAAATATATTTTGTGGAAAAAAGTTTCCATTGGGACGACCAAAATATTAAAGAAAATGAAAAATAACTGCGTTTCAAAACAAATTCTATAAAATGACATTACTCTAATAATCAAGAGTAAGCCAACCTAGCTAAGATAATTTGGGGGATTATAAGAAATGGATTTTTGGAATGGAACACAACTCTTTGAGAACCTGACGTGTGATATTTCTCATGATCCCACATCCAGTTTCAGTCCAACGAATGGGCAAAACAAGTGCTAAGCAATGCAGAAGAACTCACAGAAGATAAAGTGGATAATGTGCTCAACAAGTTTCTTCAAGACTTCAAAGAAAACTCATTGAAAGTCAATGGCTGGCCGGAACATTTATCTGCATACAGATTGTCGAAGTCTGCCATTATTGCCTATACAAGGATTATGGCCAAGAAACACCCTAATTTCTACATCAACTGCGTGTGTCCTGGATATGTGAAAACTGATATAAATGCCAATACTGGTCCATTGACTGTTGAAGAAGGTGCAGATAGTCTGTTGAAGCTGGCACTGCTGGCAGATTGGGGGGCTGCGCCCCCGTCCGGTCTGTTCTTTCACCGACAGAATGTATTCGCCTTCTGATAAGTTGATCCTATCAAATGTTGTATTTCTCAACTACTAGTGGAGATCGTGCGTTGCACGATTATCGTTATAATTTTAGAAATGATTTTTGTTAAAAGGACAAATTATTTCATAGATGTATAATAGAATGAAGGCAAACTTTAACAAGAAGTTTAGCTTTTTAGACCTTTCATCGATTGGGAAAATAAGGTGAATAATCTGGGATTTCAAGATTCCATCCCTGTTGAATTTTCAACTGAGATATCACATTCAACACCAGTTTCGCAATCAACAACATTCAGAATAGGCACCTTGGCAGTTGTGATTGGAAGAACACCAGTTGAGCCAAACTTAAACAATCAAGTGTAAGACACAATTAGTGAACTCAAAACCCTCAATTACTCCTTTGGAAAACCTCAATTCCAAACTTTCTTACATGCAGAGTATTATTCCATAGTTCATATTGGATTAATATTGAGTAGAAAGGAGTTCACATGTACTTTAGCTAGTAATACAAAATGATAAACCGACTCAACCACAATCCTATTATGGTTTGATAGTATTTCATGACAATAACAACAAAAATAAAAGGAAAAAATTGACGATTGCACTTTCCTTGCGGAAAAAAGGAGAGCATCACACACATCAAGCCACATAAATGCTCGATAAAATAGCAAATAATAAGCCGATCTGTAAATTTCTGTGGGTACAAGAACCAATCTCACCTTGGAAAAAAAAGCACGTGCGGGATGTTCGGTGCTTTATGAAAGCTATTCAGCGGCTTTCCATAAGAGTATCTATCATCGTAGTCCATTGTCATGTTATCCTATATGATGAATAACATTATAA